GCATCAAAACCATCACACCATGCATGATTTTGTATCACTACACTTGGGTCATTTGGATGATATTGGTTCACTGAGATCTCAGAGTTTCCCATTGCTACCATGTCTCATCATACCTGACCCAAGGAATTGTCTTCATTAATGCCACCACTGACCTGGTCAGAAGATTCTTTGGGAATGGGAAAGCTTTTAAGCTCACAGTGGCAGACACAGCTTTCCAAAATTCTAGTTTTCACTTGAACACTCCACTTTTATCATTGACAACAAATACTGTTAGTTGTTTTCCTTAAAATAACACACTAACTGCACTCATTTTGGAAAAATACTCTAAATACTGATGTCCAAATAATCATCTCATCTGTCAGTTGCTTTTTCAACTAACAACAGTGCCCCGAGGTGGGCTCAGCACCCAAGCACCTTGAGGGAGACAACATACTTCAGTGCAGTAAAGAGCGCAGGGCCATTCTCATCCCACACAATGTTTGGTAATGTGTACACAAAGATCAAGGCTAATAAAGTTAACACATTTTACATCCTCATCAAGGACACTGGCATGTCAAATTGACCTCTTCTCCTTGCCTGGGAGTGAGACATCAACAAGGCAATGACCAATACTATGTGGTTGGTGTCACAACTCTTGGTTGCTGCAGTGGTACCCACCACTAATATAAATGCCAAAACAGCCAAAAAGGGCCAAAGACATCTTGGAGGTATTACAAAAATAATTTTGAAGCCTCAAGAGAAAAACATGAGGTCTCGTTTAGAGGTAAGCCAATCAGAATTACTTCTGATTTCTCAGCAGACTCTAATTAACAGAAACTAACTGCACACCAAGATTGCTATATCCATCAAAGCTATTCTTTAGAATTGAAGAAGAAATAAGATAAGCATAAACTAAAAGAATTCACAACCAAATAATGCACTAAATTTCTGTACTTAAGGAAACTGTATACAAAAAGAAGTTAAAAACAGTCTTCAGAACCCCCAAAGGGATGAATCTCATTAGAAACATAACTAAGCAAATGAGAAGTAGGACCAAATTAAACATTAGAAATAAATCAGAGAAGGAAATAATAAACATCGCCCTCTAATAACACTGAATATAAATGTTCACAACACTCCAATTAAGACAGTAGATTGGATTAAAAAGCAAGACCCAAGTATATGTTGTTTTCAAGAGGCTCATCTTTAGGCAAAGTCATTCACAGGCTGAAAGTGAAAAGATGGGAAAAGATATTCCATGCAGATGAAGACCAAAAACAAGCAGGAGTATTTACTTTTATATCCAATAAAGCAGATTTCAAACAAAAATTAATAAGAGACAAAAAAAAATCACTTCATACTGGTAAAGGGAACAATCCAATGAGAAGATATAATGTCAGTAAAAATATTTATGTCTCAAACATCAGTGTGCATAAAACAAGCACTAACTACTTGATGTAAAAACTCAAAAGATCCCAATTCAATAATACTGGGTAATTTCAATACATTCCTCTCACCAATGGACAGGTCAGACATAAACTCAGTAAAGACTTATTAGACCTAAAAAAATACCTTAAATCAAATGAGCCTAATAGACATCTATAGAATATTTCATCCAACAGCTAAATTTACCTTCTTCTCAGCCACTTGTGGAAACTTCTCCCAAATAGACCTTATTGTAGGACACAGAGCAAGTCTGAGCAAATGCAAACAAATCAATAAAATTCCTTGAATTTTATGAGATCATAATACAATAAAATAAACAGTAAGAAAAGCCATAGAAATTACATAAACAAATTGAGATTGATCAGTATATTTTTAACAATGAATGGATAAGAGAGGAAATAAAGGGATAAATTTAAAAATTTCTAGAATCAAATGAGAATAGAAACATTATCAGAATCTCTGGGACAGAGAAGGCAGTTCTAAGAAGAAAGTTTATAGCTATGAGTGCCTACATAAGAAAATCAGAAAGATCCCTAATAAACAACTTAATGATGCATCTCAAAGCCCTAGAAAAAAAGAACAAACCAATTTCAAAATCAGTAGAAGAAAGGAAATAATCAAGAGTTGAAGTTAGTGACATAGAGAATACAAAAATAATACAAAGGATCGATGAAACAAAGACTTGGTTCTCTGAAAAGATAAATAAGATTGATAAATATTTAGATAAAACTAACCAAAATAGAAGACCCAAACTAATAAAATTAAATGCTAAAAAGGAGATATTACCATACATATCTCTGAAACTTAGAGAGTCATTAAATCATATTTAATAAAATGGAAAATCTAGAGAAAAAGGGCAAATTTCTAGACACGTGTGACCTACCAAAATTGAATCAAGAAGATACAGAAAACCTAAACAGATCAGTAATAAGCAATGAGATTGAATTAGTAATAAAAAGTCTTCCATTCCAACAAAGAAAAGCCCAGGACCAGATGATACACAGCTAAATTCTACCTGACTTTCAAAGAATAACTAACACCACTGCTCCTCTAAACCTTCCATGAAGTAGAAAGACGGAAACACTCCCAAATTCATCCTCTGAGCCAGTATCGCCCTGATGCCAAAACCAAATAAGAACACATCAGAGAAAGAAAACTACAGACGAATATCCTTGATGGACAGAAATGTAAAAATCCTTAATTAAAACATTAGCAATTTGTATTTAAAAATGCATGAAGAAGACTGTCCATCATAATAATCTGGTTTCAGTTCAGGGATGTAAGGGTGGTTCAGTATACACACACCCACGACCGAAGCACCGTGATTCACATTAGCCAAGTTACAGAACCAGATCAGGAGTCTGTCAACAGGTGAATGGATGAAGAAAAGGTGGTGCATGCACCCCAGGGCGTTGTACTCAGCCATAAAGGAGACTGGAGTCTAGTCACTTACAGGAAAGTGGATGGAACTGGGGAACATCGTTCTAAGTCAGATAAGCCAGTCTCGAAAGTCAAGGACTCAGGTTTTCTCTCATGTGTGGGAGCTGGAAAGAAAAGGGACCCAGTGAAAATAGAGGGAAGACCAGAAAGGGGACGGGGAAGGTACAGGTGTTATCCCATTCCAGCTGCGTGAAGGGGAGATACAGGAGAATGGGAGCCCAGTACATGCTATGTGCAAATATAACACAGAGAATCCCACTATTGTGCCTAATTGTAATGCACCAATAAAAAATGAAAAAAAAATGATTTTGATCTTTTGTGGGGATGAGATCATTTCCAAGGGTCTGCTGATCACCTTTGGGGAACTGCTGATTTGGGGGAATCTGTCTTTTGTTTGGCTTAGCAGTTGTTATTGATCAGGGCTCCATGGAGTTGTATGTTAACTCTTACAGTTGGTTACAATGCAAAGTACTTATGTCCCTTAGCAAAGATAACTCCAAAGGTTAAGTGTTACTCCCCTCCAGGGCATCAGTTTTGTCACTAACAATCTCATTCCTCATCTTTCTTCAGAAAATAGTCTCTCAGGCTCTCTTGAGCTAACTTTACCATCCTGATGTTTTCCATATGACCGGGCTTTTGACGTGCACTTACCACACACTTGTATGAGAACTATAATTAAACTTTTTGAAAATCATACTTCAATAAATGTGCCAAGAAGTCTTCAGGCCATGAGGTCACTGATGGAAAGTATTTTGTGTGTACCCACCAATCCCTGAGAGCTCTAGAAGCACCCTGGGGAGAAAGGTGGTCACTGGGGTTAGGGTAGGAATCCCTGTTATAAGGAAGAAGACTCTTCTTGTTGTGAAGACTTAAAAGAAAACCCTGCCGCTCTGGTGTACAGCCTGTCAGGGCGTGAAACATGCCAGGTACCTCCGTCCACTGGGAGGGCAATGGAGAGGTGCCCTAGGTCAAGCTGTGCCCTCCTACCGGGCCACATTGTAACTGGATGGATTGAGAACAGGGAAGGTCATCTCTGCTCGCAGTTTTGAAGCAAGATCACAGATCACTGTACGCCATTCCAGGGAAAAATGGGCTTTATAGTCCATCCTCCTGAAGACGGTTGTGCCAAGACCCTTTCAGCCAGCAGAGTGTCAGAAGCACCTCGGGTCTCAAGGCTGGTCACAAGTACCCCATCTCCCAAAGAGGAGCACTCACCCCATGGCCTGCCCATTCCCCTAAGCCTGTCAGGTACAAGGAAGCCTAAGCCACACCAAGAGGCCACCACCCCAGCTCAACATCCTCTGAGTCAGGCCAGGTGGCAGGCAAGTGGTGAGGAAGCCTTTCTGCTCTAGAACTCGGCTTCAAACACCTGCCACCTGCCTCTTACCCACTTGAGAAGCCGACCTAATCTCCGCTGGCACTGGACTGTGACACAGTAGAATGCAAAGGTTTCACCCTCAGACTTGTAAACCAATTTTGAAAACTCTGCACACTTTGTAAGTCGACATCTGAACACTGTAATTCAAATAGGAGTAAAGAACATGTTTTCTGATGCATGTTGGGCACGGGTGTTATCCCGTTCAGCTGCTGTAGCAAAAATCAGAAGGCTGATAAACAACGGGAACGTGTTTCTCACAGTTCTCAAAGTTGGAAAGTCCAAGGTCAACCAAACAAGGGCTAAAAGAAAGAGCTTTATTGAATGTCACCCAACAGGGGAGCAAGAGGCCTGCTCAGATCTGTCTCCCCAGCTGGTCACAAGCAGGGTGTTCAAGGACGTTGGGAGTTGATGGGTCTGATGCTGTCTCGGTCTTGATGAGATCCATCTTGGTTTTAGTCTGTGACTGAGGCTCCCAGCCTGTCTGTGTGCCCACCCTGTCTAAGGCCCTGGGTGTGAGACTTCTAGCTCAGCCTAGCTCAGGGTCATCTGCAGGGCAGACTTGAAGCTGCTTCCCAGGAAAGCGTGGTCTGCCCGCAAAGATCTTACACCACAGCCAGATATGAGGAAGTTAGGGCCTGAGGGGTGGCTGTGGGGTAGAGCACTTACCCAGCCCTGGGTTTGATTCCAGGACTGAAAAAGGGAAATAGAAACATTACTATTAAAAAAAAAAAAAGCCCTGACAGTAGGGCAAGATCTGAGCTCTGTTCTGACTTTCTTTCTTCTTGGTGCTGGGAACGGAACTCAGGGCCTCACGCGTGCCAGGCTCTATTCTGGGCTACATCTGCAGCGCTGATTTGGGCTTTTTACAGGCAGGAGAAGTAAGGAGCTCCACAGAACCAGAGAAGTGGGAAGTTCAAGGGTTGGTGAGCATGAAGGAGACCTCGGCTGCCGCGCCCTCCAGGGAGCCTGGGAGACGGCCTCCTCTTCTGAGGTTGCATTCTGAGTTCCTGGTCCTTGAGAGATGCTTCTGTGCTGGAAGAGACACCCACTCACAATCCAGGCCCTCCAGCCAGGACTTGGGGTCAAAGGTGCCGGCAGTCAGCGCCCTCCTGGTCCATCGTGAGGTAGAGGGAAATAGCCCATTACAAATGAATTTCTTTGGCACATTTTGAATTAGAAAAACAAACCTTCTGCAGACACAGAAGTGGCTTTGAAAGGCTGCCCTCTGGTAAGTTTAAAGGAAGTCTGCGTGGGGACCACAACTGCAGTGGGGGACGGAAACAGCTTCTGTAGCTTCTGCCCACTTTCAACCTGAAAGATCTTTCCACTGGGGGAGGAGACCTGGGGCATGCCATGGCCCAGACACACTGCCACAGGGGCCGGTACCTGGGAGGCCTCCTCTGCCCGGCAAGACGGCGGCCTCCCTCAAGGGGTAAGATGGCTATCTTCTTTTCTCTGTTAATCGCTCTTGTTTCCCTATTAATCCCTGTTGTCAGTTTTTCATGGATTAAATTAAGAACACTTCAATGGGAAAGGAACAAGTTTAAAACTTACCTACGACAAGCAGCACCTTCTTGCTGGGCCTCACATGGTGGAGGGGGCAACAAAGATTCTGGGGTCCATTTTGTAAGGTCACTAATCCCATCATGAGGACCCACCCCAACCCTAATCACCCCTCCCTCATCCTTGCACCCCCAAGACTTAGGAGGGTTAGGACTTCAACATGAGAATAAACCAAGTGTTCCCTCTGTCTCCACAGGCTTTAACTTTGCCAAGATCTTGAGCTGGAGAGGAGTTTATTAAATTGGTGGAGTCAGCTGGAAACCTGGTCTCACCTTTGAGATCAAACCCCGAGCTCATTCCACTGAGCACCTTGGGCTCTAAGGGCACAGATGAGGAACCAGGCAGAGGGCCCTCCCCTGGGTTCTGTCCCCTCCAGTGGTCCTTGGTGGCCTGGAAGGCCTTCCACCCTGAGGCAGTGCTTAAGGGCTGGGCCTCTCAATGGGTCTGTGTTGGCTCTTCCTTACAGACAGGAGGAGCTGCCCGCCCCAGCAGGTCTCCCTGTTTAGGACAATCAGTGTTGGTAAAGGAGCCCTTGGGATGTGCCTGCTCCCCTCTCCCCAGGCGTGCAAGGACCTTCTGAATGACCAGGCCAAGTCCTGGAGACCTCCTAGACTGCGGTGGACGCCTGAACGGCATCAGGGGCCAGGTACAAAGGAGGGCTCTGTGCTGACCTGGTGGCAGGCAGTGTAGCGGCCCACGTGGCTCTGGATGGTCTTCACACAGAAGTACAAGTGTCCATTTGACGAGGGAGGTGGCACGTCACTGTGAGGGCTGCTTTCTGGACTGTGACTCACCTGAAGCTCACACATTCGCATCCACCCCTGCAGCTGGGAACCAGAGCCTGTTGCTCTGATGGCTAGTTTCAACCTGAGAAAAACCAGTGAGAGGCTGTTGTGAAAAGGAGATTCTGAATGTCCTCTGAGGCAAGACCTTTTGGCCAAGCTAACAAGTAACTGGGCTCCAGCTGCTGAGAACACTGGGCCTGTGCACCTGCAGAGGCCACGGGGAGAGGTCAGGTCAGGCAGCTGGCTCTTGGGGAAGGTCTGGGAACGTGCCAGCTAGAAACCAAGAGGCCCAGGCACGGCTCGCGCTTCCTGGGGAGGGATCCACCTGAAAGCTGTGGGGAACTGCTTCTTGGTGCTGACACCAAGTCGTGTGTGAGACTAATGGGTGCCTGTTGGGATGGAAAAAAGAAGGTTCTAGACCCATCTTCACCTGGACCAGCCTTGGGCTCTGGAGCAAGTCATTGGGTCTGAAAGTACAGTGACAGCCTTGACCCTGCCCTGAAGGCGTCATGGTGTGCACATGGGGCAAAGTCACCGCTGTGTTCATAGAGTATACCAGAAATAGGGACCACTGTTCTCCTGCGCCCAGATCCACTGACCTGCCTCGACTGTCCTTCACTGCCACATTGAGCCAGTCACTGAGGATGCACTCCACACTGGGACCCTCTTGCACATAGTGGCTGGACAAACCCTGCTGAGACTGCCCACCAGAGGGCCTGCACGTGGCCCCTCTGGGGTCCCCTGGTATGGCAGCTGGATTTCAGAGGAATCTTCTCAGGAGGGGACCTTTAGAGGATAAGTGCTAAAGGAAAACCAGGAGGAACAGCAAGCTCTTATCCTGCCTACGGAGGGCCACCTGCAGCACTCTCCTGGACCCGTTGACTGAGGTGGTCACCATCGTTCAGATTCAGAAGCAGGAGACCTGGGCTCCCCATCTCGATGAGAGGAGCAGCTAAGAATTTGGAGCCAGCGTCACAGCTGCCACAGCAGCGGGAGCCTCCCGCAGGCGCTGCCTAGTCCAGGTCAGGCCTCTCGCTGTCCTGCTGCTCTGGCCCACTCTGGAGGGACGCTCCTCTGACATCAGCTAATTCCTGGGGACATTTACCTGCCAAACAACCAGCCGTCCGTCCTCCCTGGCCGCAGCCCCTCTGCCTGTTGGGCTTTCGCACTCCAGTCCAGCCACGCCCACAGGAGGCTGCCCCTGGCCCAGGCGGCCAATCCTGTGCGGCCCCGCCTGCCAAGCCCCGTTGCTGGGGCTCTTCTCCTTGTGACGGCCTTGTCCGCTTGCCTGTCTCACCACTCCTGATCAAGACAAGCCCCGGAACCCTGAGGCGACTCCACCAGAGTGCTGTTTCTAGGTGGACACTGAATCTGTCCCGTCCTGCAGCTGCCTGGGCCAGTCCTGGGCCAGTCCTCCCTGGTCTCCCCTCCCTCAGGTGTGGATGTTGTTCTGTCCAGTCACGTATAGTCCCAGGCCCCTCGCCTAGAACAGGTGACCATGTGGTCACCCACAAACTCCTCCTGCTCTGAGGCTCGGCTCCAGGGCCCTCCTATGGAAGGCTGCCACCTCTCAGGGCAGCTCAGATGATCCATGGCTGCGGGGCCAGACCTCCCTATGACACTCTCCACGTCACCTCGTTGTCTACCGTTTACGAATAATTCACAGGCGTTTGTCCCCCAGAGGCCATGGACCCTTTCTGGGAAGATACCAGTTTTTCCTGCTTATTTTCCTGAAATGGATGCCTGGCTTTCAGCAGGAGAGAGACCTGTGGAGTTCAATAGATTAGAGAGAGGAAAGCAATGTTGTGTGCAGGCGGGAGCTTTTCACACAACACACCCGGGTATACAGACACATGTCCATCTGTGCAGCATGTACATGTACGTGCATAGGATGTGTGTGGTGTGTGTACATATATGTGCATGTGTGCGGATGTGTCTATGTGTATGTACATGTTGGCATAGAGCTATGTGCCCACGAACACATGGGATTGTATCTCACAGGCACAGTTTCACAAACCAAAAGACAGACAAAAACCCCATCTGAATTTCCCACCCTTGGTCCTTGTTACAGCACCACCTCTACTTTTAGCCTGGCTTGTTGAGACTTCTCAGTAGCTGGGAGGATATTTGCTTTGACCAACAAATAGAACAAGAACATTTAGTGGCCTGTATGCTATGATTAACATCAATTTTATATAATTTGGATAACTTAGGTGCATTTCCCAGCTTGTAGTTAAGACTTTAAGGTTCATGCAAAACTGCTCTTAGATCCAAGAGCAGATAAAGACAGAAGCACTTAGATGCTAGTCAAAGGCAGCATTTTGTGCCTGTGGTACCCATGTGAAGACCGATTACAACTTCCAAACTGAATTATATGATCATTTGCTGTTGCAATTGATTTTTTATTTCAGTGCTAGGGATTGAAACCTGGGCCTTCTGTATGCTACACAAATGCTCTACCACTGGGCTATATCACCAGCATTAGCTACAGAAACCTAGATCAGAAATAAGCTTCTTGCCAGACTTCTAATGCAGTGATCCTTGACTTTTAGCTTGCAATATTATCGCTCAGGTCCTGGCCTTTTGATTTCACTCCTCATCTTCGTATGAACCCCAGTCTTTTTCTGACAGCTTTCAGATATCCATAGAAATCTGAGGGCTTGGCAGGTGTGACATACAGGCTGTAATCCCAGTGACTTGGGAGTCTGAGGCAGGAGGATTATAATTCAAGATCCCCTTCTGCAACCCAGTGAGACCCTGTCTCAGAAAACAAAAAAGGCTGGGGTAGAGGGCCCTATCACTTCCTCCCTACCACCCCTGGCAAATAGATCTGAAAGTTCTGCTGTGATTATATTCAAAATTCATTACTGAGGACTTGGGGCACCTGTTCAAGCTATAAACTTACATGTTTCAGTTCAGGGAGACTTTGTTAATTTTCTATCTAAGATCATGTTTTTTTTTTTCTTTCTGTTGTTTCTGGAAACTCTCACTTATCGGTTTTGGATCCTTTTGGATTGACCCTCCAAGTTTGAAGTCTATTCTATATTTTTCATCACTTCTTTGTGTTGTATACGTTAACAGATATTTGAGTGCAGAATAAATTTCAGCACTGTGCTCTGACCGTCACATACAGGGTGATGAGATTTTTCAAGTCTCTGTGCTCACTGGCCATTTCACTATCTTCTTTGGTGAGGTATCCGTTCAAGTCTTTTCTCCATCTTTTCTGGAGCTGTTTTTTTTATGACTGAGTTGCAGTTCTTTGATGTTCTACATACAAGCCCTTTGTCAGGTATAGGTTTGGTGAACACTTTCTCACATATTAGATTCTAATGATGAAAAGAAGCTTTAATGTTGCTAAAGGCTAGTAGTTCACCCTTTTTTCCATTTATGGTTATGCTGTCTCTGCTACAGAAGCTGCATATGTGTTCTCCCACATTTCCTTGAAGAAACTGTGATTTGGGGCCTCTTTCTTGACTCTTTTCCCCTCTGGTTATGGTTTACATTTTCCTGCGTCTTCTATATTTAGAAACTTTTCGTGCTGGTTACTGTAAGTGCTACATTGTTCAGGGAGAATGGATTCTGCTGTCTTTCTCTAGGAGTATTGGAGGCTCCCCGGCAAGTACACAGCAATTAATATGCAGGCAGCTCAGCGGGTTCCTGCGAAGGTTTGGTTTCAGGTTTTGGTGGGGTGGGTGGGCAGAGCCCCTGCTCCTGGGTACAGCTAGTGGCCTTGTTGTGCTCCCTCCAGGGCCCAGGGTCCCAGCACTGGTCTGCTTGCTCGTGGCAGCTGGGACTCCCCGTCTGGTGCTGTGTGGTCTCTGTCCATCTGTGCACAGGCACCCCCACAGCTGCTCTCCGCCAGACCTTCGGGAGCCCACTGCGCGGCACATCTGGCTCCACCCACAGAGGACCAGCCTGGGGATTTCTGGACTGTCTGCTCTGTGCAGCTCTGCCCTCTCCTGACCCTGCCCCGCCAACCTCGTGACCACCGCAGCCCGAGCTGTGCAGGGCCACTTCTTCTTTTTAGGGTTCCGCTTTCCGTCAGCCTTGTTTGGAAAGTGGCCCCAGATGGACATTGGTGCAGACGCAGAGTCCGTGCTGTGTCTGGTCCTCTCAGGGCCTCAGCCCTGCAAGACGCCTGCTGCTGAAAATGTTTGCTGTGTGTCTTTTGCTCAGTTTTATGGGCATTTTTTAACAACCTCCGAAGTCGGGAGACAGACCTTGCTGGCTAGGCCAAGTGGGCCTCACATGTCCTCCCTGCACCCCGCCTGCCTCCTATAGCATTAGCCTCTCTGTCCACACTGGCATCCCCAGCGCTACCGTCCCTCCATTGTTAGTCTCTTTACATCAGTTCCGGGAGGCACTGCCCACAGCTCCGAGCTCTGAGGATCCCCGCGGCAGGCGGCAGGCGATTGGGCCACCCAGCTTTCATTCACTGCACCCCGCCGCGGAGATTGGAATGTCCCTCTGTTCCTTTGTATTTGTGTAAATTTGTAGTTGGACACAGAGGCTTACTGAGGCTGAGGTTTGGCTTCTGTAGCAAAACCACCTCACAGGCAGTTTTCCATCAAGAAGAACGTGCCATCTTGTGCCTTTGTGTGAGGTGCTGCAGTCTATGATGCTCAATGACAGTCCCTTGGGGTTGAAAAATAGCAGGATTCTGTCATTCTTCCTTACTTGCTCAAAATTTTCTATGTAGTAACACCTTCTGTCTACACTGCTGGGACCTGAATAGTGACGATTTGAATAAGAAAGGCACGTTAAGGTTCTCCATTCTTTCCCTGTGTTCTCAGTTTTGAATAGTTGATTCCCTAGCATCTCTTCAGGGTGGCCAGACACATGTATATGTGAGTGCGTGTGTGAGAGTGTATGTGGTGTGTTTGTGTGTGTGTGTGTGTATGTGTAGTGTGTGTGGTGTTTGTGTGTATGTGTGTGTGAGTGTGGAGTGTGTGTAAGCATGCGTGTGTGAGTATAGGTGTAGGTGGTGTGTATGTGTGTAGGTGTGTGTGGTGTGTGTGAGTGTATGTGTGTAAGTGTGTGTGTTTCCTGTTATCTGGGGGCTATTTCAATCTGATGCAGTTAACATCCTCACTGATGCTCAATTGTCCTATTTTGGACCTTGGAAAATCTACCATTTGATATTTGTGTCCTATTAGCATCACCTGGTAGTCTTTAATAGCTTCGTTGCTCTCTGATAAAATGTTCTAGATTCATTTTCTACCTCAGACCTAGAATCAACTACTTCTTCAAAACCCTCTGTGCCACCCTCCCCTCCCCTGGGAGATGGCACTTCAAGACAGCATTAGAATGGGGAACTCTCACTTGGACTGGGTGATCATTGCTTTAAGGTTTTCACAGAACACATTCGTCCATGTCTATATCTAGCTTTCTACCTACCTGTCACACACTCTCCAATATTGAACAGTGTGTTTATAGACCAGCTAACAAATGAAACGGAAAAGAGAACCAAGGGAAAACCAACTTAACTATGGAGCTTTGATTGAGATTAGAGAGAGGATTATAGGTATATAGGTGAAGAAGGAACTATTTAACATAATTAATGCTAGGACAAAAAGGGAAATTTGACCACTTCCTCACTCCATACACAAAAAATCACATCAGAAGAGATTGAGGATTTAAATATGGAAGGTGACACTTTAAACTTTTAAAAGAATACATAGAATAATAGAGGTAGTAAGTTTGGTTTCTGAGTATCATCCTCCACTAAAAGGAAATAGGGATCCTGGGAGAAATGGCTGGTTCCAGAGCTGGGTTACAAAAAGACAAGATGAACCTGTTTCAGGGCTGGGGCCTTCTGGGAAATCGAGGCAGTGTGAAGACCCCCCTTCAAACCCTGATTCCTGTTATCAAGTCAGGAAGGTTTCAGACACGTTGCTCAGGGAACAGGCATGAGTTCATCGAAGGGCTAGGAAAAGGGAAAGGGGACGCTCTCATGGGGAGAGTGGTCCTCTCAGAGAGGAGAGGGACAGCGTGCCCCTCCAGCACGCCAGTTTTATTGGGGATCCCAGGGAAGTTTCCAGAGAGTCCCACCCAGGTCCACCTTTTGACTTTTGGCTGACAGGAGGACAATGTCATGTTTTCAAGTCCCCACTGCCACGGCAACTCTACGTTTGGGCCATGCTGACCAGTTCAAATTGGACTCTTAAATTCTTACAGATTTTATGATTAGGAGGAATTATCCTTATCTCCCTAAGTTTGGGGATCTGGTCTGTGGAAAGCGTCCCCCTTCAAGGTAATTCGGATTTCTCTTAGCAACATTATTTCAGGCATTTCTCCTGCAGATAACAGGTAGTTTTCTATGGAATGTGACACAGTCTGTCCACTTTGGCCAGGCAGGGCTGCAGGTGAATTGCTTCTTGGAAGAGATAGCATATGGGGGTCAGCAGAATGGACCCAGTTTATGGATATCCCCTGAACCTTGTGTTCCCACCACTGGTGTCTGACTGTCCCCTATCAAACCAGAAAGTAAGGACATGCTTAAAAATAATGAAAATATGTCCAAGGACAAGGGGGTAGGAGGAAAGCCAAATGGCCAAATGTGGGACAATTTGAGCAGCAAAATAAAACAATGAGAAAAATGGATTATAACTTATTGAATAATGCCGCAGTCTGGCTGGGCACAATCAGGAGCCACTTGTCAAAAGAAACTAACTTTACTTTTAGAACCACACACGCCAAACAAAATAGCCTCTCAGGAAAAACCCTCAGAGCCTCAACTGCCACCACCGGCTTTCCACAAGCCTCTCTCTCCCACACAAGCTTCTCTCAACCTCCCACAATCCTCCTGCTCTTGAGGCCGATTGGCTGGGTCACGTGGGCGGAGCCAAAAAAGTCCCCCAATGAGCAGCTCCGTGGTCTGAAAGGGCAGGGAAACAGCCCAATGAGCATCACCGCAGAGGAGCCAATCAGCTAGATGTTGCTGGGGCCGAGGAGCCAATCAGCTAGATGTTGCTGGGGCCGCTGTGAGCCAATCATCAGCCAGCAGCTGGAAGTTTGCTGGCAGCTGGAAGTTTGCTGGGGCCCCTTTGGCTGTGGCTCTCAACAGAATAAAATAAAAATCTATGCGCCACACTGATGTAGATAAATAAAATGAGGCAAAGTTCCTCCTCAGAGAACACCAACTAATAAATGTAGACATTGAGATACAGTTTAAAAAAACAAACCAAAAAATCTCTCCCTCTTACAGCTGGCACAGTAGTGACTGACTCAAGGAAAGAAGCATCCTCTGATGCTCTCTGGTCACCTCCAGATGTACCTCAGCTTACTCCTCACCTCGCTGGTTTAGGATGACAACTTACTACCCACCAAGTTGTGGGAGTGGCTTTGCAGGGTGATTCTGGCCTGGCACCTCCTGGAGGCTGCGATTAGGGGTTGCCTCGCCTGAAGCTGCGATGTCCCCAGGCTTGCCTGGGGGAGAGGGTCATCTCCAGTGACTGGCTCCCACAGCTGCTGCAGGAAGGCCCAGGCCCTCACTTTGAGTGCCTGGACCCTCTGGGGAAGTGGTCCAGAGCAAGGTGGGGGCCAACATGGCTTCCCGTGTGACTGAACCTTAGAGGTGAACTTCATTATATCCTCAACATCCCTCTGGATTGGTGTGGGGAGGGGACCCAGGGATGTAGGTCAGGATCACTGGCACCAATCTGGAGAATGGCTCACAGATGCTAAAATTAATAGGGAAATTTGATGAGGGGGAGGATATTTATAGTCTCAAAGTGCCACTCCATGAAATATTAATTACTAAAGGAAAACAGTAATTTTACAGTGAGAGACCTGACAAACACACTTAGCCAAGTGATCAGAAATTGCATCACCAATTACAGGACAAGCTGATATCAGGTGCTCTGAGGTGGTCCTCCTCAGGACTTAGGTGCTACTCCTGCCCCAAATGCATAACTGAAATCTACCCATAAGAAGGCAGCAGATGACCCTAAATGAAGGTCATTTTACAAAATATTGCCCTTAAGAACAGCAGTGTGTGGTAGACGGAGAAAGGATAGACCACTCCAGATTCAAGGACACTAACTAATGCTGGGTGTGGGGGCACATGCCTGAAATCCCAGCCACTAGGGACCTGAGGCAGAAGGATCGTGAGTTTGAGGTCAGCCAGGACAACATAGTCATACGCTGTCTCAAAAACAAAACAAAACACTAAAGTTATTCTTCATGGATTCTAAAGAAGTAGGACCAGTGATGATTTTGAGCTGAATCTTGAACTGGGAGGAAATGTTGCTATTGAGAATATTGTTGAAGCAGTTGGAGATTTTTGAGTAGGAACCAAAGAACCAATGACAGATGCGATGGGCTGGGTGGGTTCCCACTGACTCCCTCAGAGCCAGGTTTTCAATACTATGCAGTTTTTTGTGCTGTTGGTTAGACTGTCAGTAACCTGAAATCAACCGTGGTGAGCTGTTAACCATGGGAGCCAGCAAATGCTAAGAACCAGGTCCCCTCTCCCTTCCCGTTGTGCCAGCCTGCCACTTGATAATGGCATTGGGGTAGCGCTCCGTGTCCTCTGCAGACGTCAGGGTGCCGTGTGAAGCCATGGTCTTATTCTAAGGGCACACACGTGAGGGCAAAGCAGCTTGACCTCTGCCTCTTACTGAGGTGGTTCATGATGCACAGATAGACCAGTGGATAGAAAAAGCTAACATGGCAAAGTTGTGACAAGGATGAATCTGGGTAAGGAGCTATTTGGGGTATTCTTACGACTTTTCTGTAAATTTATTTTTTTTTCCGAGATAAAACATTAAATGTTTCCAGATTATTGAGAACAGGAAAGATAATTGATTTGCCCAGAGTCATGGAGAACATGGATTTTTGGTCCAAAACTCTCATGACGCCTGGAAGTGGCCTTATTTTAAAGATATTCAAAAGTTTTTTTTAAAACTTTCATGATAAAGTTAATGTGTGAACAGCTTTTAGATTTTGAAAGTAACCTGTTATGTGTAAACATTTACATTAAAAACAACACTGTTTTGTTTCCTTTTTCCTATTACAGTTGCAATGTTTCATTGGCTACAGAATTTAGAGTTGCCCAGAAGAGCTGATAGTCACTTGACCAAGGGAGAAAGAAGAAATGTATTTGAAGGCAGAGGGAATTTCATGTGGATCAAACAAAATTTACAAAATGTCGTCTATAAAGTTGACAAATTGCACTTACATAACACTAATTATAGATGGGGAATCATTCTGCAGCAGGTTTTCTCAAAATAGCTCTACTGACATCGTGGGCCTGATCATTCTGTGCTGTGCAGGTCCGTTCCAGGCAGCATGGGGCATCCGGCAGTGCCCTCCCCTCTACCACTGGAAGCCAGTAACCGAGCTCCCCACTCCCCAACCACCACCAAGAAAACATGTGTCCAGACATTGTCAGAAGTTCTCTGGGAGGGCATAACTGTTCCAGTGGGGAAGCACTGTTTCAGATATAGAAAAGTCAAAGAAAAAAGAGGATTGGTATATGTTCCTACACACACATATATGAAAGAAATATTAAGACAGCAAGAATTTCAGCGTGCATGTCCCAAATTGTGTGTGTATTTTAATCTTCTTGTGTATTGTTTAGATTCATTAATTAAATCAGTGCAATATTCTATTTCATACACATTTTAGAGAATGAATATATATATTTTGGAATGACAATAGCACTGGAAGGTGGGGCTGGAGATGTAACTCAGTGTTAGCCTACATACTTAGCTGGCTTGTGAGGTCCTGGGTCCGATCCTCAGCACCAAAAACATTTTTAAATGAACACATAAATAAAATGATGTTGACATCTACTGTTTTCAGTTAATTTATTTCTGTCCTGATGTATTTGCCAGATTCTGAGTCTAAATGTCAAAGACATTTAAGTAATGGGTTAAGAGAGCAGGCTAATAGTAATTTGAAGCAATTTTAAAAATGGTAATTCTTCAAGTAGAAGAGTAGCACATATCTACTGGAACACTGGAAGTGTGCATTTCTAAGGCTTGTATGTACCAGATATTGCCATGTTTCCATGGTTACAGATTTTGAACCAATCAATTCTTCATAGACATGCACTTAGCAACAAAGTAATTAAATTCATAAAGTGCGCTAGGCGGTGAAGGGAAACGAAGAAATAAACAAATAACAAGATTCTCAGGGAAATAGTAGAGTAGAAGAAAAACATCTTCATACTGATCTTAGTATGTAAGAACAGCTAGGAACTGGGCTG